CGTTCCGCACGCGGCGGTAGGAGGGAGGGTGCACGTGCAGGAGGCGCAATTCTTTCCACCAGGGGCCGGAAAAGGAATTTTCATTCGGCGATGGCTGCAGGGTGACGCCTCGGGCCACCCCGTGTCCCCGCCCGCTGCCCAGGCTGAAAGCCGCGGGGACACTCGGTGCGGCCGGGATGGGCCCGCGAGCCGGGCGCACGCTGCTGCGGGTGCTCCGGGCGCTGGCGGTGCTGGGGGTGCTGGGGGTGCGGACCGCAGCCGCGCAGGGCCCAGCGCGTGAGTGAGGGCGGGGGCGCGCGGGGACCGGGCGGGGGCGCGGGGGTGGCACCGGGCCCGGAGCGAAATGAGCTATCGTCAACGCGGGGTGCCGAGTTGGGAGGGGCTGCTGGCCCTCGGGGAGGGGCCGGCCGGGGGCGCGGGTGGGTTACGCGGCTGCCGCCCCGGGCCTGCCCCCGCCGGCCTCGCTCTGCGCAGCAGCGCTCCCCGCTCCCTGACCTGACGCTTCTAAATGTCACTCTTCCCGGTTCTCCTGGAGGCCGAGCTTGGCTGTCGGGTCCTTGGACTCGGGTCTCGGGCTTGTTGTCTCTACTGCGGGTTGTGTCGTGTTTCCCGTCCACTCCCCCCACCAGGAAGTCTCCACGCAGGGCCCCTGCGTCCCGAGCGCCCCTCGGCCTTTCCACACCGGGCGCCGTTTGGGCTGGGGGAGCGCGCGGGTGTCCCCCTCAGAGTACCTTGCACTGGGGAGAGTTTCCGGGATGCGGGAGGGGGTGTGTAAGGACGGAGGCTGGGATCTGAACCCCACCCCTGTCGGGGATCCCTGGGCTGGGCACCGCGGGGCTGGGGGCCCCTGAGAGGGATCGGTCCGGGCCTCTGGTTGGCCTCCGCGCCACTATTCAGCTGGAAAAATAACTCACTGTTGTTTCTGAACTGGAAGTACAGTTCTGGCTTTTGGGCGGCATTGTTGACCTGTGATGTTAACAGCACTGTAATTAACTGGCCTTTACTGAAGGGCTCCAAAGAGATGACAACTGACACCCAAGTAATGACCTCAGTTTTAGCTCTCTTTCCTATCTGTGATCTTACTGACTCTGCCCTTGGGAGGTAGGAGACGTTCATGTGTTGATTTTCCTGGCCCTTGGGGGATAAGTGACTTTTCCAGGTGACAGAGACCTGGACAATCTGGTTTTCTCCTGCAGAGCTAGCGCCAGTAATCTTCCTAACCTTAGCTGACAGGGGCTTCCCACTCGGGGCGCAGGCTCAGTGTTTTACAGAGTGATCACGCAGCCTCAAGGCAACACCTGGAGGGCAGGCAGGACGCGCGTCACTTTTACAGGTGACAAGAATGAGGTGGTTTGCTCCCTGGTGATGTTGTTCAGTGTCACCCTGGGCTTCTGCGGCGGAGCCCACCCACGTCCCCACTTCATAGCCGCCAGTGTTAAATGTCACGCGGCATTAGAGGTTGAATCCGCGAATCAGATTTTGGATGGAAGAATTCCTTGTTCTCCCGGCACCATTGTGCGTTCTGGTGGAGAGGTGACCATCAGCAAAGGAACAAAAGGATGGAGAGCGTCAGATGACGGGGGTGCTGTGAAGACACATGGAGTACAGGTCAGGACAGGCCACTGTCGCAGGCTGGCCTTTGAGCAGAGACCTGAAGGAAATAGGGTGACGCTGTCTGCGAGCCGCGCTGCCGGGACAAGCCGAGGGCCCCGGCCAGTGGCTGAAGCCTCAGCACTGATGACGTGTGGACCGTCGTGTGCGGTGCCGGATGTTTAGCAGCATCCCTGTCCTTCACTCACTAGATGCCATGGCCCTTCCACGGGCGTGACAAACACAGATACCTCCATTCTTGCCAATGTTCCCTGACCCGGTTTAAGAATTCCCGGTTAAGACTCCATGCGCTGAAGAAAGGGCAGGGACGCGGGTGCCCCGAGAGTGCGGAGCCCGGAGGCCAAGAATCAGTGACGGTGAAGAACCGGCTCCACAGGCCAGTCTCCAGGGCCTCGCATGGGTGGTGTGGATCCTGGCCGAGGAGTGACATGAGCTGTCACAGCTTTTAGCAAGACTGCTCTGGAAAGCAGGGCGGGGGACCTGCAAAACAGGGAAGTGGCACAGTAGTCCTGGCACCGGGCGGGGAGCCCAGCGGTGGGGGGCGGGGGAGCTTTTCTGGGTGTTTTAAAGGACCTGCTGAAGGACATGTGCACACTGTGGAGTCACAGGTGACAAAGAGGAGTCACAGGTGACACTGTCCTTTAGTTCATGGGCCTGAGTGCCAGGTGATCAGTGATGCCATCTCTGAGATGGTGAAGGCAGAAGAAAGACCATTTGGGGGCAAGTCAGGGCAGTTTGGGCCTTGTTAAGTCTGAGAGTCCCATCAGCCATCTAACTGAGGGTGTCATGTAAGAGCTGTCACTCTGTTCATCCAACGAGTCTGCATTCAGCACGTCCTCCCTGCGGTGCTGTGCCCGGCACTGCAGCCCATCACTGGACCCCCCCACTCTAACTGAGGGGCCGCTGGGGAAACACACGGGCCTGGAGGTCTGTCTGGTGGTTTTTGGCTTCCTGGGGCTCTTTCTGTATTTGCTCTGGGGCTGTTTGGATGCGGAAGCTGCCCTGAGCTATTGGTCAGCAGGCCTTCCAGAATTTAACAACCCACATGGACACAGGAAAGGGTTTAGAGAGGGAAACAGTGAAAACCCAAGGGCAAATTTCTTGGTTCTAATGAGCTCTGAGCACCAGCTTCCTGAGCTCAGGGCCATAGCTGGACACACTGCGTTTTCTAGGGCGCGCTGGCTGCAGGGAGCCTGCCCTAATCGGGGGAGTCCTGGGCAGTGAGGGGTGGCAGCCACACGTGGCAGACAGAGGGCACAGGGGGAGAGCAGACAGGACGGTGACGTGGACATGAGGCAGGCACTGGCCTCACTGCCCAGGCTGCGCCAGGAGCTGCAGGTCGGAGCTGGTTCAGAAGGCGCGGGGCCTGCCTGTCCCCTGGGACCCATGAAGGCCTGTTGTCCCCCCAGGGTCACACTCTCTGCGCTATCTCTTCATGGGCGCCTCAAAGCCGGACCTCGGGCTGCCCCTGTTTGAGGCCTTGGGGTATGTGGACGACCAGCTGTTTGTGTCCTACGATCACGAGAGTCGCCGAGCGGAGCCCCGGGCCCCGTGGCTCTGGGGCAGGGCCGCCAGCCCACCACTGTGGCTGCCGCTGAGCCAGAGTCTGAAAGGGTGGGACCACATGTTCACGGTGGACTTCGGGACCATCATGGACAACTGCAATCACCTGA